TGTCGTTATCGCGGCAGATGTGGTCTACAAAACGACGCATCTGGCGGGCGTGGAGTCTGCGGTCCAACAGAAGCCGGCCCTTGATTGGCATGCTCGTCTTTTCGGCTGTGGTACTCTCGCGTGCGTGACGTTTAGCGACATAAAAGATGCTAATTGGAGAATAGGAAGCTAGGAAATTGATGTGTCAGGGTGATTATGCGGATAGGCAGGGTCCACTAACTCACTTGGTCTGTGGCGGTGCGTAACGTTGAGGTGATGCAGCATGCTTGCTTCTCCATCACGGGTCGTCGTGATGCTGCTTCAGGCTGCTGTGATGGAGATGGATCAAAAAAAGGCGCGCGTGCTGTCCTTCGACCATGTAAGGCTCGTTGACGTGGCTGATGGCGATCTCTGGCGTTTGCTGTCCAGGTGGTGGACAAAAAGGGTCGGATTGACCGCAAGTCAGCAACTCGCCAAGAGTCGTATCAGTGCTTTGGACGAGATGCTAGCCGATATGGCGGAGAACCCAATCGAACTGTCCGGTGTGATTGACCTCAGTTTAAAGCTAGATGATCGCCTCCCGAGGTTCACAAGATGGTAGCAAACACCGTAGGGATGGATGAGGGCCACATGGACAGGCTGCTCCAGGCCGAGGCCCAAAGGGCTGGGCAAACCAACGGCCATGTACGGCTCTTGCCGGAACGTGGGCGTCCGGCGACAGCAACAACAATAACGACAACCACGACGACGGCCAATAGGTACCTAGGGAGGTGGATGAGTATTTCAGCCGCAGAGGCGATGTTGATTCAAGTCAGCTTTCCTGTCCTGTTCTTGTTTCTCTCCCGTGACTTCCCTGTTTGGTGTTTGTTTCCTTGAGGAAAGTCCTGCTCCACATTCGGACGTGGCCGTTACTAAGTGTGGGTAGTTGACACCTGAAAAGAGTGATCAGACAAGCTGATATTGCCCCCCCCTGTCAACCCGAGAGTACCGTGCACACTGGTCTATGCAGAGTCCAGCAGACAGTGGATTCAGGTGATAACACAACTATCTTAGAGGCAAAAGGGATAGTCTTGGCCCATCCCGACCCGGAGCACAGCATAGGAAGCAGGGTGGGTTAGTACTATTCCAACCCTCCCCGGCGGAGCCGTTTTGGAATTAAAAAAATCTAAGAAAACTGGATTTGAACTGGATTTGAACCTGCAGCCTTTAGGATATGAGATTTATTGCTGTTATTGCTGGTATCGTGCACAGTACTCTCGGGTTGACAGGGGGGGGACAATATCAGCTTGTCTGATCACTCACCTGAAAATCCGGTGTCAATTATCAGATTGTGGTGTGAAATAAGTGGGGTGGTCGGTGGCTGTGCTCTGGCTCCACCGCGCCATGGATCGATCAACTTGTGTTGGGTTCGACACGCGCCGCCCCCCACCTGCCGCCTTTGGCCACCAGGGCCAAAGTCATTGGTGCGTTAACATTCCGCTGCCACTCGCGGATCCACTGCTGATGGGTGATGCGTCGAACCCTGTAAAGCCACTCACTCTCGCAGGCGATGACACAGTCTACGATGGGATACTGCAGTATCGAGGCTGCCGAGTTGTCTTTTTCCGAGGGCAGTGGCGTAGAAGGGTGCGAGGTGGTGGGCGAAGAGGACGGCGAGAGGTCTTGGAGAGGAGTTGGATAAGTTTTTCCGGCCAGGTCATGCCGCCGTAATTACTAGTAGTGAATGGAATGAGTGTCAGTGAATCAATGATGTGGGCGTCACACTCCGGAAGAAGAACACTACACTCACTTCACTATGCGAATTCATAAATTCTTGTTCGGCTCGGGTCAAGAGTGTGCTGAGTCATCTAAATGTGTAGATCTGGTGACGAGCTCCACGATGTGATCATAAAATATATTATCCAATGTTGGGATGCATCGGTAGCGAGCGATTATGGCGGCTCACCAGATAGATAAAGAGGCGTGGATTGACAGGAAAGGGCATGTCGCCGGAGTCCTGTCGTGACCTTGTGAAGCGCTTCCTGTAAACCGGTTGTACGATTTAGCAACATTTCTTGTTGGAAATCATCAGCAGCAGGCTTGGAAATGATTGGGGTCCGCCAACACTAGGTGGAACTGTTGCTACTACATACCCACCGTTCAAGATTAGCGCTTGTTACCGTTGCACGTCCAGTCGGGGGCGGCCTTGCAGGCTCGCGAGGAGAGACGGGCCAAGGCTCAGATAGCATATGCTTAAACCAAATAGCTCAGCCCTACGGGAGGGCTAGGTTCCTAACGATAGGGGACACAACCCAAGGATAGCAGCCTTCTATCGACAGCGACGGGGAATCAAGGTTAGGAAAGGGCGGGTCTGCTGATGTAGGCGTTTGCGTGTGTTAGCGATGAGACCATCAAATGACAAGAGAGTTTGTCAAAGTACGATGTACATTGAGGTAATTGCCATCACAGCCACCCTCAGACTTTCAAGGCTCAAAGGCCTGAGGCGGTACTTGTTCAGCAACCCTAAGGGCAGCAGCCGCTAGTAGCTATTGCTGCAGAAAGATGGTTTACTGATAGACCATCTGGAATTACTTGTTGGCCAATGGCCTGCGAAACTGGGGGGGGAAGACATCACCACGCCTAGAAAGCTGTCCTACTATGAAAAGCTGCCATCATTTCAGCTGAACGTTCGTTCTACTCACTGCGACTGCTGCCGCCTTGCCGGCTGTTCACTCCATGCTGTTGAGTCGCTAATTATTAGTTCGCCGTCGTCTATCACCAATAACCAGCTAGCTCCTATGTTCCAACCTCCCTGCCTGCAGACCAGTACCCGCGCGATCAACCAACCAACTGACTTTTAGGTGTAATGGTAGTGGCAGCTTTTCTAGGTGCGGATAAATCCCAGGGTCGCGAGGGAGCAGATAATCGATCTTGTTTCTCCAATGCAAAGGTAATTAACCTACCGTAGGGCGGGTCCTGTGCTGTTATGTACTTGTACGTATCTGCCTAGGCACGTACCTGTCACATCCCACTACCTAGGTACCTACGGATACACTCACTACCAGGTACTAGAGGACGTACCTGTGGAAATTGGTCCGTGTAGATGGTCACAGCCAGCCAGCCACTAAGCCACTTCAGCGCCTCAACCTACTCGGCCCGCTCTACTCCGTAAGGATACCTCTACCAGGTACGTAGTATGTACATGACAGCGGACCATCCATCTCAATTTCTAGCTAAATCGACCGACCGAGCGACCGACAGACTGGCTGACCGAGTGCCACGATCCTGGCATCCTCTGCGAAACATTCCACACGTAACACAGTCCCTCCTGGCAGCCGTTCCGGATCTAACAGGATAAATGGGCTCTGGGAGCTGCTGACCTAGAAGGGCGGCAGCGACGTGAAGAGACGCGGCGGGTACGTGAATGAAGGCAAGCAGAGCGAAGAAGCAATGACCAGAACGAGCAGGCGATGAACAACAGTCACGAGCAACAAACGTAGGTTTCAGGAATTGTCTCTCTAGAGGTTGAGATCTCGAGAAGGTTGCCCTTCTCGAGGTCATGGGTTATATACCCCGTCAGCTGGTGGAGGCCTTGGTGACTAATGCTCCCACCAGTGCTAACGGCTCGTGACAGTCTACCCGCGCCACGTACAGCGCAATAGAGCAAGACTTTTTCTAGTTACTGCCTATAGCTCTAGGAATTTCTACTCTAAGTGAATTTAGTGACCTAGCATGTTGCAGATAATTATCACAAGCTTGATTCTTGCGTTGGCGCGCGGGGTAATTAATTGAAAGCGAGGTGAAGTGGATGGACTGTCGCATTCTGTGATGCACTATCACCTTTGGATGGCGGGGGTGGCACAGGCATTAGCCACCTGAGGAGGTGGTGTTTGTGGTGGTGCTAGTGTGGCGGTGGTTAAGTGGGGTTAATAGAGGTTGTGTTTGTGCTATTGTAGAGGGAGGTGCTGTTGTGGAGGTGCTGTTGTGGAGGTGCTGTTGTGGAGGTACGTAATGTAGTTCCTAGGCGCGTGGTACCTACGGGCCTCAGAAAAGTACGTACCATACAGAGTACGGAGTTTTCACTTACGGACACACTGCCTTCTTATCTCTTACCTCTTGTCTCTTGCCTCTTTCTGTTGTCTCCTGCCTCTCTGGGTGGGTATTTCGTAAACGTAGCGCCCGTAAGGCAGGCCCTGCCTCCTTCTCTCCATTCCACGTAAGTACTGCTGCAAGTGCTTGGCCCAGGTGGGGAGGAGGCTGAGGAACGGCGTTTACAGTCCTGGTATACGGCGTTTATAGGCCTTGAGGGCGTTTACGCGCCCCACTATTTGTGAGTGAGGAAGGTGCGTACAGGCGCGTGCCACCTGGGTGAGAATAGTGACAATGACGTAAAGGAAAACCTCTCTCCATCCCTCGGCCCCGCCGCTGCCGCCAATCATTGACCGCCACACACACACACACACACACATACATTGTATATGCACAAACACACCCTCAGGACCATCACCCAGAGCCCAACACGCCAAGTTTTGAGGGCTGCTGCTACAATATCTTTTACGACTATGCACTTCGGTTCACTTCAGCCTGCTTACGCGCGACGTGCGATGCTCCGCTCTTCGTTCTCGGAGGCTTGGCGGGCGAACGGAAGACGGTAGGTCCAGGTAGGAAGTGCGGATACATCCATGACAATACCCACCTACCTAGGTGCCTTGTCTACATTTCAATCGACAAAATACCTATACGTGGGAGACGAGGTCATCGCTATCTCTTGGTCCCATTCCCCCAGCAAGGCTCCGCCACGTTCAACCCGTACGCACCGCACCCGCACCCGCAACCGCATCCGTCTGCACCACTGCCTACCCGCGGGCATTCGACGCGCCATTCTTCGGTATGCAGCTGGCCGAGGCAAACATAGTCGACCCCATGTATCGATGCCTGCTGGAGGGCGCGTATCGCACATTTGAGAATGGTAAGCCAGCCAACCAACCACAAGCTCAACCTGTCTTATCTGAGCGCACGCCACAGCAAGAACAAGAAGCCCCACGGGACTGACAAGATGGCAGCCGGAATACCAATGGCTCAGGTGGCCGGGTCCAAGACATCAGTCTACTGCGCCAACTTTGCACGAGACCAGGAGACCATTGTCCCTCGCGACCCCGAGTACCAGTCCCAGTACCAATCCACGGCTACCGGCTACGCGCTGCTGTCCAACCGCATCAGCCACTTCTGCCATCTCAAGGGGCCCTCCCTGACGCCCGAGGCCATCGGCATCGTTTTGGACAACTCCAACTTTTTGTCAAAGGATGGCCGCTGCTTTAGTTTTGATCACCGCGCTAACGGCTACGGTCGTGGTGAGGGTTTCGGTTTTGTTTTGATTAAGAAGCTGACTGATGCTATCCGCGATGGCGACTGCATCCGTGCCGTCATCTGTGGCACGGGAACCAACCAGGACGGCCAGACGCCCAGCATCACACAGCCCGGGCCGGACGCCCAGTGCGCCCTGATCAGGGACACGTACGAGCGCGCCGGGCTGGGCTTCGAGCAGACCCAGTTCATGGAGGCCCACGGCACCGGCACGTTGGTCGCTGACCCGATCGAGGCCGGCGCGATCGGGGAGACGTTCAGGCCGTCCAGGAAGGAGCCGTTGTACATTGGCTCGGTCAAGTTCAACATCGGACACCTGGAGGACGCCACTGGTCTTGCGGGCTTGATCAAGATCGTGCTGGCGCTGGAGAAGGGCGTCATCCCTCCCAACGCCGATTTCGAGAAGGTGAACCCGGCCCTGGATCTCGATGGCTTGAAGCTGAGGATCCCCACCAAGGCGGTGCCGTGACCTGCCGAGGGTCTGAGGCGGGCGTCGGACAGCTCCTTTGGCTACGGTGGCTCGAACGCGCACGCCACCCTGGATGATGCGTACAACTTTCTTAAGGCGAGGGGGTTGGACGGCATTCACAACGCGGTTGACAATTGCCGGGAGCACCACCATCTCGGGAACGGTCACTTCAATGGGAATGGCCATGCCAACGGCAACGTCACGCCAACGGCCACTCCAATGAGTCCTGGGCCATCATCCCCTTCTCCGCCCAGGATGAAGACGGCCCTACGCGCCAAACCCAAGCCCTCCCGGCCCACCTCTCCTCCGATATCATCACCACCGCCGACGACGACAAGACCTTCCTCCGAGGCCTCTGCCACACCCTCTTCGTGCGCCGCTCCGTGCTCAAATGGCCCTCCGCCGCAGTCGTCAGTTCCGTTACCGACGCCTCCGCTAACCTCATCTCCGCCGCCTCCAAGGCCCTCTTCACCCTCCCCTCCAAGACCCCCGTGCTCAGCTACGTCTTCACCGGCCAAGGCGCCTAGTACGCCAAGATGGGCCTGGGCCTGTACGAGCACTACCCCGTCTTCCGCTCGTCCATCGAGCAGTGTGACGTCTTCCTGTTCAAGGAACTGGGCTGCCCCTGGTCCGTGGTCGAGGAGCTGGAGCGCGACGCAGACTCCTCCTCCAACATCAACCTGCCGCTCTACTCGCAGCCCCTGTGCACCGACATCCAGGTCGCGCTGGTCGACCTGCTCAAGTCCTGGGACCTGGCCCCCGCGTCCGTCATCGGCCACTTCTCCGGTGAGATTGCAGCCGCGTACTCGGCCGGCGCCATCACGCGCGACTCGGCCTGGCGCATCGCCTACCAGCGCGGGGTTGTTTCCGAGAATCTGGTCGTCGCCTCGACCGCCGCGCCCAGAACCATGATGTCAGTGGGCCTGGGCGAGGAGGACGTCGCCGCGTACCTGGAGGGCACCGACGTAACGGTGGCCTGCGTTTAACTCCCCCATCAACGTCACAGTATCGGGCCCCGCCAAGTCCATCGAGGAGCTGTACGCGCGCCTCTCTTCCCACTTGCGACTCAATCGTTGCTTTTTCCGTCAGCTGGAACGCGACGGGGAAGGTTGTTTTGACATGCCGTTTCCAGGGAGTGGCCCGCTTCCAAAGTCCACCCATTTACAAGACAACGAACATCGAGTACTTGGTAGACTGGAACAACAGCCCCAACACTGGCGAACAATACCTCTCTACTGAGGAAAGTCGAGTGTTCGTCCTCGTTATGGATTGAGTGTCTCTGACACTATTTATCAGGTCCTTAGCAAGGACGTCACATCAAAGGCGATTGTCGACTGTGAGCTTCCGCCAGCGTTTCCCCTGGCTTCATCGACGAACCTACCTGTGGCCTCTTTGGTCTTTTCGGTCTTCACCTTTATGCTCTTGCTCAAATCCATCCGAGAGCATCAGGATCGGTCGATGATAGCGCACCGGCTACTTGGACGAGGCGAGACAGCTCATTGCCACAGCCGTCAAGCCCACGTGTCAAGCCCACACGTCAAGCTTCCCGACTCGCCAGCGAGCTCGGCGCTCCGTTGGACGAGATGAAGGATCACAAAAACGAGCACCTGCTTCTCGAGCTTGCCAATGCCACATTTGGCACCCTGAACAACAGTAACCGCAGTACTGTCCCCATGCTCGATGGATCAATTGTGACTGAGGTGGCGAAGCCCAAGCTCAAGGTCCCGGCAACCAGAAGAGCCAGAGCCACCAGATCAACGACCCCCCCGCCTCGGAACATCCAGACCCACGAGAAGGGCGGCAGCTCCAAAGACCAAAGCTGCTGCGCCATCCATCCCAGGACGAGGTGGTAGCCACTAGTAATATGGCATCTGACTTGAAGGCATCTATGCTGTTGTACAAGGCGCTCGTTCGCGTTGGTCAAGGGGACTGGGTCTACGCCGAAGCTCTCACTTCCGTTGACTTTCATGCTGCTTGTCGGAGGAATTGATGCAGTCGGGGTCGCGACTGTTGACAAGGTACCCGGCGACTGGACGGGGGAGCTTTCTGTGTTAATGATTGGGGCTGGTGATGACTCCATGGCCCAAGCTGAGAGACGGTGGACCAGTGCATGTTGACGTAAAAAGAGAGAATATGTAATAATTAAGCGGTGTTTTCGCCTCTTTTAGCATTATTCATTTGCGTAACTTTTCTCGTGGTATTTGACCCCCAAGGGGATAATCTCGCGCATCTACTTTGGGCCATAATCCCACCAAACTCGGCTGAAGTGTGTCCTCATGGGATTTCTGTCAAGACACGCGCGCGTCTCTGCGGGACTTTTGACGTCGGCGAGTGTCGACGTGGGGCGGGGTACATACAGCATGGTGAGCCCACAGGCCTCCACAGGGCCTGAGCGCACGGGCCATATGGTACTTTCCAGCGCCAAAAGCCGGTGTACATGGCTTCTAGGTAACCGGGTAAGCTTACGTCAGGAAAAGCCATTTGACAAAAACATGGCCCATTAAATCCCTTGATGGAGGAGTGGTGGTGGCATCTTGTACGCCTTCATCGTGGCGACAGCAAATGCATTTCTTCCCGCAAGAACATATGTCAAGGGCAGAAATTTCATATCAATGTCATTTGTAAGAAAGACGGCAGGGAATAAATTACTGATACGCAATCGGCAAGCTGGTGGTGGTGGCTAGATGAGGAGAAGGGGGGGGAAGGGGGGGGGGTGCACCATGTTGAAACTTGTGCTGTTGTGTTATCCTCCGGAGGTGCTGTTGTGGTGTGTTATCGTTATCGGTGATGGATACAGAGGCTGTCGCTGGACGCGGTGGTACTTTTCAGTGCCAAAAGTACCATGTAATACTTTTTTACTACCTAGGTACTCTGCAGCCTGACGCCAAGCACCGCCACCACCTAATGGTTTTGTTTACTTTGCGTCCAGACACGAGACACCCATCCATTACCATGTCTTCTCCATCCATGTGTATCCCGACCTTCAACAACGCCCTCTCGCCACCAGAAAAAAAACTTCAACGCAGACCGCAGCAGCATCAGGCATCAATAATTCCCTCGTCTGTTCTCTGAACCTTGGCCATGGCCCGGACTGTGGCGGCCACCCTCGGTGCGATGTTGGCTTCAAAGAGCCTGACGAGATCCTTCTTGGTTCTGGCTGTGGCATAGGCGACCTCGTGGGTTGCCAAGACATTTCGCAGCTTCGGCACCGTGAGGGAGGCGGGGTTGAAGTCCGGCTGCAGGTAGGATACGTCGTCGGTCTGGTTGGGTATGTTGGGGAGAGGCCTGTCGGTTGCGGGCTCACCCCGGCCAACGGTGTCAGCGACAGCATCATCCATGGGTTGACCATGGTCAGCCGAGAGCCTCGAGAGCTGCGTGGTGACAGCAGCAGCCAAGTCGACATCGGGGGCTTCCCTCATCTTAAGATGGTCTTCTTTCGCGAGACGGAGAAGCTGTGCCTTGCGCGCTTTGGCTGGTACGCAGAGGGAGGACGACTGCAGGTGTTGCCGAAGCTGGTCGACGGTCATCGTATCAAGGTCTTTAATTATAACTGGCTGGGTTACTCGGGGTGGGGTTTCTGATTGTCCTTGCATAGAGGCCTGATGTAGATGGACGCCGTGATGGGATGTTGAAGGTTTGGCTGTGGTAGCTGGCTCGATGGGACTGTGTGCCTGATGGAAGGATGCTCGAAATGTCGCTCGAATTGAACTCGGTCCGTTGACGCACTGTGGGTGTTCTGGTAGCACAAGTCTGGTCAGCGAAGGTGGTAGTGGAGGAGGGGGATGAGTGCATGCATCAAGCGAGACCTGAGCCAGTGGCACTCGGATGAGGAATGCAAGAGGTTGTCAGAGACACGGTTGTGAAGCGGTGCAAGCCAAAAAAAGACTTGTAGTAAATTGAACATTATCATCATGTGCAAAGATGAAGTTGAGCCGGTGCCTGAGGTCATATGTATGTACCCAGGTACCTCAGGAACCCGAGGCATCATACTCACCTACCTTAGGTAGGTAGGGACCTACCAGTTCTCGCAGTTCCATGCCTCTCAGGGATTCCCGATTGTCTTCTTAGTGGAAGCTTCCTTTGCAGATACGCACGAACAAACACACAATCCACAAACAAAGTTCAAGTCTGGTTCTCAGTAAACACCTTCGCTCCCCTTGGCCACTTCAAAGATTGATACTGCTTCCTGACCTCCTCGTGTGCACAGCCTTTGCTCCCTCCCAAGGAAAGAAGAAAACAAAAGGAACAAACATCCGCCGTTCGAACAGTAACTTGAATCAATCCGAAATCGACGTCCCAAACCTCGACCCGAACAATCATGGCGAACACAACAGACGCCTACTAACTACTATAAGTCCCTACTATAGTCTCTACTAGACTCTTATGTAGACGCACAGCTACCTTCCTTTAAGTCTAACCCTGAGATAATTGTACTTATATCTATCTCAGATTCTATAATATAGTATTAGGTACCTAAATAAGGCATAAGAACTTATAAGTATAGCTATTAAACCCTTACTCTAAGCTTTTTAGCTTACCTACTTACTTAGTGTCTTATTAGTAGCTGTAAAGGATTATAGAAAACAAGCACCTAGGTGCTTCTTAAGCTAGCTAAGGCTACGCTTAGTAAACTAGATAATAGGAACTATAGTACTATTACTAGTGTTAGTGTTATATATAAGGTAAACTACTTTACCTATACTCTAAGAATAATTACTAATAACTATTACGTTAGTATTTCTTACTAGGATATAGAGAGTTACTAGAAGTATAAAATATTAGACTATAGCCTAGCTTATATACCTAAGAGTAGTTAACTTATTTAATTACTATATTATAACCTAATAAGTTACTAGTAATATTACCTTACTACATAAGGGATATATAGGTAGTAATAAGCCTTTATATATTAGTAAGGAAAATAACTCCCTTAGAATAAAAGAACTATAGTATTAGTTATATAACTAAATAAGTAAGATAAGAGATAAGAAGTAAGCGCTTAGTAGATGCTAAAATAAGCACTTATTCTACTTATAAATAAGTGCTTATTATAAAGGTAAAATAAGTACTTATCTAGTAAAAGAAAAAAGGTACTAGGACTTACATATAGGATAAACTTAAATATACTTAAAGATAGACTTCTATAGCTCTTTAGTAATTAACTTATAATATATTATTTAAATACTTTTTAGTATTTAACTATAGTAATTTATTAATTAAAAGCTATATAAGTTATCTTTATAAGTTTTAACTATATAACTAATTACTAAGTAATTAGTAGACTAGTAAGCTAATAATACTATTACTAAGTATAAACTTTAGTTATACTATTAGTAAAAACCTTACTATTAAATTACTAACTATAATACTTTAATCACTTTTATTAAGTAAGTTAACCTTAATATTTATCTAGTAGTACTATATAATATTTATATTAAATACCTATATATTATCTAAAAAAAAACACCTTAACTAGCTTAAGTAGCTAGAACTTAGCCTAAAAGCTAGTATTAACTAAAGATAGTATTAACTAAAGATAGTATTATAGTTAACTTAACTTTACTTAGTATTTATAAGGGGTTAGTACTACCTTCCAACAGGTGTATAGTAACTTAATATAATTAATCTAGACTAAGGAGGGAAGGTTATTTACAGTAGTATATATATTATACGCATAAGGTTAAATAAGAGGCTGCACCCACCTCCTAATATCCTGCCGCTAATAAGCTACATTTCCACGGGCCACCACCGACACATATCCACACTCTCCGATAACCAGTAAGGGAAGGGGCAAATGCTGGCATAAACCGTTTTCCGCCAGAGCCACTAGCAAAGTCAGTTTAACTCAATACTTTGAGTTCTAGCTAACTAGAGGCTATAGATTTACTTAGACCTACGGGCGGCCTCGAGGCTAGGAAAAGTCTGCCTGATAAGTGGGCTATCGTACCGCATGTGATCCGCGTTGACTTACTTGATAGGGCGGTTGTAAGTGATATCTATCGCGGGCAGTAGTTGCGAATAGCTTCAATTGACGGCGACGCGTGGGTGGGTGGATACGCTAGCCATTAGGTGTAGACGTGCCCACCAGAGATTTGGTGGGCTGGCCAGCGAAAGTCCGGGACCGGAGTCTGGGTAGGAGCCCAGCCACATTTGGCGGCAGGATATTGGGAGGTGGGTGCAGCCTACCGTCGCCCCAGATAAGACGATGTGGTCGACTGACCTGGCTTAAAACCTGGTCTGGCAAGGCACGGCCCGACCCCTGCAGCACCTCCCTTCTTTTGCTTCCTCTCTCGCGGATGCAAGCGACTACTCTGTAGAGAGGGATTCATTTGCTTTTGCATCATGATCCCGCAGGTCAGGACTAGACAGATGACGTTCCACTACCGGTGTTGCTTATCGTTGGGCGCGTGAGGTTAGTTAAGCTACTGCTGCTATAGTGCCTACCTAGCCTGGCCCATTTTGACTTGGGCAGGTTTGGGACAAAACCGCCCGATTTTTTGGGCGACTTTTGCCACACACATACATCTATCTGTAGAAGGGGATTCAGTATGCGGTCTATTAGTAGGCTTGCTGTTAGTAGATGACACGGGCGGGGATCTTATTCAAAGTGTCAAAGGATTATGTCACCTTATCTACGACCCACCCGTTTACGGGCGTATAGCTGCGAGTGCGCTTGCGCCCGGTCCTGCACAAGCGCAAATCGAGACAACTAAAGAGGCGGACGTATCCTAGTCCGAGGGGCGGGTGTGCGCTCTCGTTGTTTCCTCTTCGTCCTCCTCTCGTTATCTCTCATGCGAGCCTTGACGGTACGCGATCTTGGCACGCTGGCGACGACGACGCGGATGCACCTGGCCAGGACTGGGGTAGCGGTTATCAGGCCAGAGTTTCGCCCCGCAAAGTGGGGGCCTTATAACCGCTACCCCAGGCCTGCCTGCCAGGCTGCAGTGTACGGCCGCAGCACTGCGGGCCGACGCCTGACCACCACCCGTCGGGGGAGATAACGAGAGAGGCAAACAAAAAGGAAAGAGGAGGGAACCTGAGAGGAATTCGTATCAGTGGCTAGGCCATGCGTGCGAGGTATAAGTATCTAGATCGACCACGCCGCTGGGGATGAGGGACGATGGAGGAAGCGCGAGCAGGCGACCCAAGAAAGGCCCACTCGGCATCAGCAGCGTAATCATTCTCACGCATCGTTATTACCTTGTGCTGCTGGCGACAAGGGAATCCTGCACACCCTACCTTTCCTTACGTAATCTACCACCCCCCGTTCGCGTTCTAGCACTGGTAGCGAATCGCCAGATCCTAGCTAGCCTGACGACATGCTCCCCCCTTTCGACCACACCAACCATATCACCGACTTTGGCTTCGGCCCCGGGGATCCCGCGCACGGCGATACCGGCCCGTGGCCACAGGACCCAATCGCCAGGCTACGGCAATATGCTAGCTCGGCAGAGGCCTGGGAGGCGACGCATCCCTCTCACCGCGGCTGCTTCATCGGCCACGCCTGTCAAGTAACGGGGGAGGCGTCCTGCCCCCGCGCCAACTACCTCACCCAGTTCCACCATGCCTATGGGACGTGCTGCCAATGGAGCCCGGGCCATATCTACTGCGGCGGTCCGACCTCGGCAGCGGAGAGGCACTTGTTCCCTAGCTGTGCCGACTGCGGCGTCCTCGTTGAGATCTGGGACCTCATCCTCATCAACCGCCGGCTTCTGGTGGACGAGAAGTAGGTGCAAACGCCGGAGGACTACAAGCTGGTACAGGATAGTCTTCGCGGCTACATCAGGGCTTACCGAATGCGTAGGGCTACGCACGCCGCGGCGGTACGCGCTAGGGCTGACGATGCGTTTGAGGCGCAGCTTAGGTGTGTGGAGGAGGGCATCGAGACGCCTACGCGCACGGCGCTGATGGGCAAGGTTGCTACGCTTGTTATGGGCGCTCTGACACCGTCTTGTTGGTGGACGCGATAGGGGCCCCTATTGTGGCCATGGAAATGGGCTCATTTTTGGATACTACATAACCGTTGTGTGCTGAAATAGCGCGACTGAAAATGTAGACGTCATCTAAGCAAGCCCTCCAGCAGCGGCAAAGGCAGCTTAAGCTCAAAGTGTGGGCTACGCACAGGGCTTTGTGGGAAAGCTACTGGATGCTGCTGACGTTGTATATACCTTGTTTGAGGGACTAATAGATAAAGTCCTCCCTCTCTGTCTTGGGTGCTTCTGAAGGTGAAGGTAGAACATGCCATGTTTCTTGCTAGACGACGGCTGCGTCTGCAATATCTCATGCTGCTATGGCTTGAGGCTTCAGTCTGTGATAACGGAGTATGCTTGTATCCTCCTGAAAATCCAGCTTCATGCCCTCTAATCCACACCTAGGCCACGCCGCACCAATCGATGGCCCGCGCAGCCTATGCCGCCTCTTCCTATTCCTAGGCCTCGCTTAGACTTGATGGCCTCCATCCTCAAGCACCTCTTGCGCCGCCCTAACAAATCTAGCAAGCTTCGGGTCTACGGGTTCGGATCTGGCGTCGCCGGCGGCAGCAGCAGAAGCAAGGGGCGGAATGCCGCGGAAGCTGGCATCGGCCGCGGCGACAGCGGCACAGAGGGAAACGAGCAGCTTGCGCCGCTTGGCTGCCTTTTTTGCGTCGGCTTCGGTCTTTAGTAATGCGGCTGCGACCTTTGCTAGGGCGGACGTGGCGTTTCTTATGTCGGTTTGGGATGGTGCCATACCAACGTCCTGCTCGTCATGGTCGTCTGGGTGACTTTTGACGTCGTGTTTGGCAACCGAATAATCTAGGACGGCTTTTAGAACAGGCGAGGCCGGGTGGTTTTGAGGCATATCAACGTTAGTCGTGGTAATACCGCGTAGGCCAACTATAGCTGGTAAGTACAAGAAAACATGGAAATGGTGTTGCGGCATGATCGTACCTTGAAGCGCCTGTGGCTGTTGGCGACGTGGAAGTCGAGTTTACGCGGCCACGGCTGGGGGTAGGGTCTAACGTGTAGACGGCTTCGCAGACGTACGTGGGAGCGTGACACCAAGTGCGGGGACTGGCACCTTGGTCCGTTGTGTAGGTAGGCAGCTTTGTTGTTTTTTTGTCGGGTCAGAAGGGGCAGTGTAGCGTTTCAAGTTTGAATTTGGTAGATGAAAAAGAAGTCATCACAAGTTCTCGGCTTGCTTGGCGAATGGGTGTTGAGGGGAGGCAATTGACTGACTCTGCGATGGATGATGGATGGCTGGTTTGGTTTGGTTTCTGTTGGTTTGGCTGGAGGAGGAAAGTCGAACAAGTGAGCAAAACAGAATCTCATCTTATCGTCTGATTACGTCATTTCTGGACCGATAAGCCATATACATTTATTTGCATCCGACCTGTAGTTGGTGACTCCTGGCTTTGGAAACCTCTGCCTTGTGATGCCCCCCCGGTGGTACCTATGCATCCAGGCACCTACCTACGTACCCATGCGTACCTAGGTACCTAGCTTGGTAGGTAGGTAGGTAGGTAGGTAGGTAGGTAGGGAGGGAGGGAGGGAGGGGATTATGTGCAAATGTACAAGTATGCAAAGCAGCAAGCTTTCCACCGCTTCAAGAGACTAAACAAGTGTGCCTGACCCCAAAGAAGCTGCTCCCTCTCTGTTGCGTTTGCCTTGGGCGTCGTAATGGTTCTGGTTGGCCGGTATTCATGTAATGACAATGGTGTATCTGCATTTGCCTCTCTTCACGTAATGGGCCATGAACGACTCCTGCCCGCCCATTCATTCAGTCAATTGCATCGGCCATGCGGGCATCCCGGCCGGATTGCGACGAAAAGTTTGTCATTCCAGAGTAATAATACCATCTCGAACACAAACACTGGAACGAAGCTTACTAGCCACCACAGCATCCTATGATGGCCTTGATATTCATCCGAGATAGAAATTAACGTCTTGCTTACTTACTTAAGTAATTAAGTTAGAAGCCTTGCATGTCTACCGGTATTCTTACGTAAGCCCCGGCTTGTCCATCTTTTGGCGTCTCTCGATCCGATGCGACGCGATGCATCTCACCCACAATCCGTCATGTAAGCCGATGCGCCGACAACCCCAAAATGCAACAACGATAAAATCTGAACCTGACTGACACAATGATTCCATCTGCTACGCTTGCGCGCTGCAACGGGCTTTTGCACCTTGACAATGTATGTATACTAACGAGATGGATGCTGCATGCGAAAGTCCTGGTGGAGTGCTTAGGCATCTAGGTACTTCGGTCTACCAGCACCTCCACAACAGCACCTCCATGACAGCAGAACAGCGCAACAGAACCTACAAAACATAGCTACCAAGACTCACACCCTTAGGACATAGTACAACATTTGGCTCCTGAATGCTGGTGGCACATACAGTGTCAAGACATGGTAAGAGAACATGACACATCACAGAGGCATTAATAGTGATTTAGCAGAGCCATGACAGCAGGATACCTCAGTCACCGCGCGCCTCAACAGAAGCGCCCCAATTCTTATTAGTGATTAAAATGAAAAGAGGAAGAAGAAGAAGAAGAAGAAGAAGAAGTAATAGTAGTAGAAGAAGTAGAAGAAGAAGAAAAAAATCACTCTTTCTGGTTGCCTTTGAAAGTCGACACCGCCGAAACAACAATCTCGGCCGAAGCCCGCATCCCCTTGCAGATGGTTGGAAAAATACCACGCTTCTTGGGCTTGGGGAGGGCAAGGATGGCCTGGGCCATGCGGAGCCAGACCTCCATGTCGTCGTCATCGTCGTCGCCGCCTTCGTCTTCGTCAGACCACTGCTGTTGCCGCTGCTTGTGCTGGTGCTGGTGCTGATACTGCTGCTGCTGCTGCTGCTGCTGCTGCTGGTGGTACTGCTGCGGTGTCTCCTAGACAACCGAAGACGAAAAGCCCGCAGAGGCCGATAGTGGTGGTGGTGTTGGTGGGGTCGATGGCCGGCCGTAGAGCTCGTCCGAGGTGGACTCGCGCGACGGGCTCTGGGCCTCTTCCAAATCGAGCTGCCGGCCGCCGAGGTCGGGGTTAGGGTCACGGCCGGTCTCCGGTTCGGGAGAGGCGGCGGCGGTCTCGGAGGCGCGGGCGGGGGCGAGAATGGGGGAGCTCGGCGCCGGGGGTCCGAGGCAGGGGCGCTTGGACGCGCGGGGGGGTTGGTAGGCGGCGTCGTCGTCGGGAAGGGCCCGGCGCTTCTTCGCGGGGCAGGGTGGCGGGGGCATGAGCTCAGCAGCGGGGGCCGGGGCCGGGGCCGGGGCCGGGGCCGGCGTGGGAGTCCGCGAGCCTACGGGCGTCGCGCGGCGGCTAGCAGAGCCGGGATCCTCACCAGGACGGAGATCTATAACAGTGGACGGACGCCTGTTAGCTACAAGACTCTACACATATAATGACACAAGAGTTACGTAAGGCTTTTGGGTGCGTGTGGATTACAAAAGGAACGGGATATAATAGGTGTATGTGTAGTAACAAGTGGGAAAGACTAATAAGTAAGCAAGCACTTACTCCGAAAAGCTACCTCAACGTCCACCGGCAGCAGCTCAGGCGGCTCGGTGGGGTCGGCCAGGAAGATGCGGTCGAGGGCGGCGGCGTTGACGGCAGCAAGGACGGCGTGGTGGTCGCGGCGCTTGGCGGGGTCCCTGGCCCTGAGTAAGGAGTTGAGGTTCTTGACGGCGTTCCAGGAGGAGAGGACGGCCGAGCCAAGCAAAAAGAAGAGCATCTCGTCCTGGCGCTCTCCCATATTAGCTAGGAGGGAGGCGAAGCGGCGACGGGCCTCTGGCGGCGAGCGGCGCTCGTTGGCGGCTTCTTGATGGAACACAACCTTGGCGGCGGTCTCGACCTCGTCCTGGGAGAGCTGGGACTTGAGGAAGAAGGGCCAAATGTAGGTGTCAGGGTTGGCCTGGTCGGCGCGGGCGCGGGCGTGGGCGTGGGCGCGCACGTGTCCCCACCAGTTACGGCGGAGGGTGTTGTAGACGCCGCGGACGTCGTGGGGTCCAATGGGGGCGTTGGAGTATATAGAGGCGATTTGCCGCAGCTGGGAGAGTAGCTCCTTGACGTCGGGCTCGGCCTCGACGCGCTGGCGGGAAGACATTGCGTGTGTGCGGGCGGGCGGGCGGGAAAGCTGGACAGACAGACAGACAGACAGACAGACAGACAGACAGACAGACAGACAGACAGACACGGAAGAGCTTTGAACACGGCAAAAATGAAGAAGAAAAAGACGGAAAAGCCGACGACGGTCAACAAACTACGGCTCGCGAGAGGAAGAAGAAGAAGACGAGTTGATGCACGTCAAGGGCAGGTATACTACACTAATATGCATAACGCAACTCAGGGTTGGCCGCACCTTCGTGTGCACCTTCGTGTGCACCCCGGGGCTGGGCCTAAGGAGGTGCAGCCGGCACTGCTATCATGCACGGCATACTTTGGGGCAGGAGGAGGCGGACGCGAGAGACTGGGCCTGGCGATAGTTGAACTTGGTCCCAATATTTCTTTCCGTGGCAATGAGTGATGGTCGACGGATGGCTGAATCAGTCACGGCAGGTCATCTGGTGCAGACGACAAGTCGCACGACATGCAAAAACAAGATGCGGACATGGCCATGTAAATCACATGAAGCGTGGTGCCAATAGATGATGTGAAGGAGACGTGCGGCATAATTAATACGCAGGCATAGATGGATATGCGTATATATGAATGGAATGGCGTGATAGTGCAAATGAATAATAGGTTACTAGCACCTCGATGGCTTCGTCCATTGGCATGCAGTTATGAAGTGAAGGTATAGGTCGAGATGGATCTTTTGTACATGATGCCTTTGAAAGGTGCGAGGGTGAGAGGTGAGGGTGCGTGTGTGGGTGCAGCACCCCGATCGAGGTGCGGCTGACATAATCTCACCGAGGTAGACACCCCAGCCAGATTAGGTGGGGAGGTACCTACCTACATGTCTCGCTGGTTGTTGTAAGGCTGGTGCGCCTGGCTGTTCGTGTGCCGTTGCCGCTGGGCGAGGGCTGAAAGACGAGCGCTGAGTGCAGTCGCAGCAACCGGAGGGTTGAGACGTAGAGTAGTTGTGGCAATTCCTGAAACTCCTCCACGGCACGGTGCCTCTCCCCGAAATAGAGGTAAAGGCCGAGATCGGAGAGCGCGGGGAAAAGGCCTATATGCCTAGCCAGCTTCGCCGACCAGTTGTTAATGGCTTCTGCGGGGCCGAGGTCGTCGGCGTTGAAAAGCGTTCTGATCAGCATGGACGCGTAGCTTATTCTCTCCGGCCGCGGCTTGGGCATGATCAGGCTTGGGAGTGGGCCCATCTGTTGACCGAGCCGGAAGGCCCCTAGGAGCCGCATGGTGTCCCATTCGCCGATCCTTTGACCGTGCGAGGGGTGGAAAAAGGCATCGATTAGAAGGATTGGATAAATATTCTCTCGAAAGGACTTCACCTGGCCGTACCATCCCATTCTGTAGTCTCGCGGTACACGTCCCCATTCGCGGATGCCTTCAGGAAAGGGGGGATGGGGAGGCCTGACATCTGAGAATACGCTGGGGACCAACCCGTATTTTTATTTAGAGGTAGATATCAAGCAACCTTGATTCTTGCTAGCGACGATAGCTCTCTGGCGAAACGGCGTGCTTAAGACAGAGCTCAACGGCCTTGACGGCCTTGCTTAGGGCGTGGTGATGATAGCCATGCGGTTGGACGGGCTTTGCTCCTTGTCGTGTGTTACGACCCGACAAAGTACAGGCAGCCAAGGGCCCTACTTAACCCTAGAGATGTAGGCAGTACAACATCTTGTAGCTAATAGAAGGATAACTCCCTATAGAACAGAAGAGCTATAGTATAAATTATATAATAATGAAAAATCAAAGTACTAATAAGATCTTAGTATAAGTACTTAAAAGATTAATATATAAGTACTTAGTATAACTACTTATAAGTACTTAAGAAGTATATAAAAAAGTACTTAGCTAAGGTAGTAATAACTTATATATAAAATAAACTTAAATATACTTAATAATACACTTTTATAGCTTTTTAGTAATAAACTTATAATATATTTTTTAAATACTTTTTAGTATTTAATATTAGTAATTTATTAATAAGTAGCTATATAAGCTACCTTTATAACTTTAAACTATATAACTATTAAATATAGTAAAAGTATATGAGGAATAATTAGTAAATATATAGTTACTCTTTAGTAAATAGTTAAGAAATAGGCAGTGAATTTACCTTATATTAATAATAATTTAATAAATTAGATAAATAGAATTAGTCTAGGATTTCCTAACTAAGAAATAGAAGGATTTCCTTGTCTCTAGTAAATTTTACTAAAAAAACTAATATAATGATAGTAACTAATTAATAACTATAATCTCTATAGTTTAAGAATTAAAAGTCTAATATAAATATCTATAATAACTAATATACTAATATACTAATTAATAACTATAATCTCTATAGTTTAAGAATTAAAAGTCTAATATAAATATCTATAATAACTAATATACTAATATACTAATTAAATACTATTATAATAGCTAATAAGAATAATAGTAAGAAGGTAATAGTTTTATAAATATATAATAACTAGTCTATATAGCTTAATACTATCTAAGTAAAAGTAGAGTATTATAACCTCTAGGACTTTATTAACCTAGATATAATAGTAGTAGACTACCTAGCTCTTAATATATACCTAAAAAAACTAATAAAGCTACTTGTAATATAGTATCTATATATATTAACTATAGTAAAGCTTATTACTTACTAAGAAATTACTATAACTATAGTAATTACTAGAATATCTTTATAAGTAATAGTATAGCTTTATAAAGTAAAAAAAGAGGCTATAGTAACTATACCTAATAGGCTTACTTATAAGACTAAATATATAGTTACTATAGAGAATTTAAGCTTATATAACCTTATATATTTTAATAACTAAATAAGCTATTATTATAAAGAAATATAGAAGTATACTACTTACTAAAAGAACACTAAAGATATTACTAATATAGTTAAATCTACTATATAAGTTAACTTTTAAGAAAAGTACTATAAGTCTACTAAATTACTAGCTAAATAGCTTAATAAGCTAAACACTATAGTAGGCGTAAGTAAAAAAGAATATATAAAATATACTTATAATAATTATAGTAAAATATTAATAAAAGCCTAGTAAAAGGCCTTAACTACTAGAAAAGATCTTACTATATAGCTTAATAAATAAAATATAGCCTATAGTAAATTAGTATAAGTTAATTTACTTAACTACTAATAACTAGTAATCTAGTTTTATAACCTTATTATTATATTATAAAGTAGTATAATTAGCTTATAGCTTAATATATATAGTAACTAGTAAAATAAAAAAAAATTAAAATAAGATAAACTAGTAGTTACTATATAAGATAGTACTTAAAAAAGTTAAATCCTTTACTAATAACTTACTATATTATAGCTAAGTAGGCTAATATATATATATAGTAAGTAAATAATTATAGTAAGTAGACTAGTTCCTTATTATACCTTAAAAGGTACTTTTTTAGCTATTTTTTTAAAAATCTAAATCCTAACTAAAATAGATATAACTTTTTATATAAATACTAATAAAAGTTATAAAGTAAAAAAAAATACTTAAGAAATTATTATCTTACTTAAACTATATACTTTAACCTTACCTCTTATTAAGAGGAAGTAATAAGAAATAATAAGAAGAAGAAGGGTTAAGGTAAGATAATAATTTCTAGGGTATTTTCTCTTAGTTTTTAACCTTTATTAGTATTAATATTTAAAGTTACACCTATTTTAGTTAAGATTTAGATTTTTAAAAAATAGCTAAAAAAGTACTTTTTAAGGTATAATAAGGAACTAGTCTACTTATTATAATTATCTACTTACTATATATATATATTATAGTATACTTAGCCTTTTAGAAAATAATAATAATAATAATTAACTATATAGTAAAGATATAGTAAAGAATAATAAAAAGTATTATTAATAATAAAGTATAAGTAAAAAGCTAAGGTACTTACTTAGTAGTAGTATAAATAATAATAAAATAAGATAAATAAATAAGTTAAAGATATAGTAAAAGTTAAAATAAAAAAGATAATAAAATATAATTAAATATAAGATAAATAAAGTAATAATAGTTAAAAAGTAACTATTACTAAAGTTACTAAGTAAAGTAAAGTTAATTCTTTTTTTCTTTAATATAAGTATATATAGAAATTATTATATAGTAAAGTTAACTTTTCTCTTAAAGAAAAAAGTAAATATATATAAAGATTATACTTTAAAAAAGAAGAAGAGAAAAAGTTAAAAAGTATAAAAGTTAAAGAAGTAAAGTTATATAGACCTTAACTACCCTCTTAATTAAAAAAGAAAAGTAAGCACTATAGCTATTACTTATAGTAACTTACTTTCTATAGTAATACTAAAAATAGCTAGTAGTTACTAGTAATAACTACTTTTTATAGGCTATAATAATAGTAAATATAAATAGTTATAAGTAGAAAAAACTTACTTTAAGTACTATTTACTTTACTTTTACTATATTAGAAATAGCCTTAATAAGTAGTTCTTATATAAACTATACTTTACTAGTTTTACTAGCTAAACCTTATTTATTTATAATCTTATATAGGCTATTACTTTATAAATAAAAAACTTTTACTTAAATAAGAACTTTTACTTAAAGAAAAAAAAGGTTAAAAGAAATTAAAAAAAAACTTAAGTATAAGTATAAGTATAAGTAGTTATACTAGGTTAAGTTAAAGATATTAGTTAATAAATTATAAGTAAAAAAAGACTTTTTAAAAAGTAATAAAGTTAATAAGTTAGTTAATAAGTTATATAATAAATATAGGTTTAAAAAGTTATTTACTAAATATTATAAGATTTTTAGTTACTAATAGTTATTAAGCTAAATAGTACTTTATTATCTTTAGTAAATTATAGTACTAAAAGAAATATTATAGTATATATATAGTAAGTAAATAATTATAGTAAGTAGACTAGTTCCTTATTATACTTTAAAAGGTACTTTTTTAACTATTTTTTAAAAATCTAAATTTTAACTAAAATAA